TAGTGTCTTAATTACTTATAGGTATCATCGTTTTTCTGACGATCTCAAAAATTCTTTGTTAAAATAATAATAATAAAGTCAGGCATCTAATAACATCCACAATGAGTTAAAATTATCACAACGGCATTAATTGAATTAGTTATTTTATGATAAATAAAATGAGGAAGCCGTATTTAAAAAACCTAACNTGCTTATAAATCAATTCCGTATTTTTACTATGTAATTCCTATTCTACTCGTCAATTTCATTTTCTGTAATATTTATAATCAGAGTTTACAGTGTCATTATCATAAGGTCATCGGTCCTGAGATTGGTTGGATAAGCACCTCCACTCTCCTATCCTGAGCTAATCTTCGCATATTCCTAAAACTAGAGCCATCTACATCCTTAACTATTTGCGAACAATAATCTAAAATCTAGATCTACATTACTCCTTTTAACTCCTTTTTCTGCCTCTAATATGTCTCTGACTAGCCCTTCCTACCTAAGAAGGTGTCCTACCAACCTATCTCGCCTTTTTCTTATAGACATCCAGTCTTCTGTTCACCTACCTATTCTTTCTATTACCTCTTCATTTCTAACCTTCTCTATCCACGGTATTCTGATCATTCGCCTGCAACATCATATTTCGAACGCTTTTAACCTTTTCTTTTCCGGCGTGCTCACCGTCCATGTCCAAATATACACCTTTAACAATCTTTTCCCAATTTCTAAATGTGGAAATATCATACTAATAATAAGTTATCTATAATCAAAGTCCGATTTACCAACAAGGGACAGAAATTGTAACAGTTTGGTCATACTGATGTAGTCTTGTTCATGGGAAAAACTATGTACAAGAACTATTGTTATCAAAATAACAAACACTTTAGTATACTAATCAATAAATAATAAATTAGGATAAATGACTTATGTCAATACAATTTTACCCGAATAATTTCATTAGGTAGGTTTTTATTACATTAATAAAAATTATTGTTGGGATGCCCGATACCGGATCCAATCCGATCAATCTCTAATTTTTACTGAAAAATTTATTATTATTTAGGTAAATACTATTTTTACTGAACTAAAAATGAAGCGACAATGGATTTGCACTTACAGTTATCATCTGAATACCTCATGGTTATAGGTTATCTTTATAACATAATTGACGGACTAGACATGTAAATGACCTTACATATCATATCTACAAAGCTTTTAAACCTTATATTGTTTCTAAGAAACTTACTTTCTGCCTTATCTAAGGTGAACAAAATTGATAGACTGTCGCTGCCATGCTACTGCTTTTTGTTATCAATATTACTATTTAAGACTCTGTTCTTAAGCCTCTCTTCATGTACATGATAATAATTCTCCAAAGTTAAATGATAAAGATTTGGAGTAATTAGGGGAAAAATCGAAATTTCGTTGATGTCTCGCCACTAAACCTTCTATCTATTTTTAATATTCCGAACCAAAATCGATATAATGGAAACGCCTTGTCGCGTCGGTGTCCCTCGGGTTGTCTGGTCCAAGAATTTTTTCGTACGCTTCTAGTAGAAATACCTTATTATTACAGACGTACAAAAGAAATTGGAAGACACGTAGAGAGAATAAATGATGATATTAAGAACAATTAGTGTCTTAATTACTTATAGGTATCATCGTTTTTCTGACGATCTC